TATGTAGATACTGCACATCCAGAGCTTTGCTAGGAGGTTGAACAGTGAATTAATGGTAAAAACTTCAAAAGTAGCTGCTGTAGTATTTCATGTGTAAGTTACTCTGTTGTCTGTGATCTCATACCCCATAGTAGTTCCTTAAAATTATTTCGAGAAAATGCACTGTAGGAGACTCTTGTATTTGTATACAAACTCTAAGGAGGTTTGCAAGTTCTTTCTGGACACTTGACTTGAATAATCAAATTTTTTGATCCCTTAGCTGCTGGTGTGTGCATGGAAGAACCTGCCCTTGCCTATGAGTGAGTGTCCTCCAAACCTGTTGTTCCCATTGTGTGTTTGGTGCTTAACTGAGATGTGTTCACTCAGCCTCTGAGTTGGTCCATCTGGTGAAAGGTGTGAGGTTTTAAGGATAATGAATCCTTCAAGTACTGAAGTATGTGAATAATTTAAAATGTGAATGTTGTGTTTTATGTAGCAGTGTAACTACTAATGTAAGGTAACTTTAAATCATGCTGCTCTTTAAATACTGCAACACTTCATGTATTGGCAAACGTCACTGGCTTCAAGTGACATTAGCTGGTGATAAGCTTTCTAATAATTCCCACAAAATCATTTATGTATTATTTAAAAGTACAAGGCAACCTGGATTTTTTTCAAAGCTAGACTGCTTTCAGAAGTAAAAAAGAAAAAAGTACATTTGAGCCCGTCCTAGTAACGAGCATTTGTGGAAATGCTCCTAAAACCTTCATACTGCTGGTGAGCAGCAAACACACTGAGGGCCAACAGCTGTGCTGTGTCAGGGAGAGCAGCTCCAGCTTTGTCTGACATGAAAAAACAACCCACAACCCAAAACGGGTACGAGCACAAGGCAGTGGGATCCCTTGGTGTGCTCTTCCACTTACTGGCAGCCTTTGGCTTCGGAAACTTCTCGCGCCAGGATTTGCATCTGGAATGTAATCCAATAGTCCTCCTTGGACTTTTCTTCCATCTATTTGTCTTCATTGCTTTTTAAGTCCATTTATACTTTTGGCCAGCATCCTGTGTGAATGAGTTTGTCTCGCTGGGGGTGTACAGGAAAACTCCTTCTTTTAGTTTAACCTGCTGTTTGATAACTTGTGCTTGTGTAGCAAGGGGAGGGAGAAGAACAGTCTTTGTCTACTCCCTTTCTGCAGGTGGTTTGTAATTTCTGTAGATTTCTTGTATATCAAGCCTTAGTTATCTTTTTTTAGAATCTGTGGATTTCTAGATTTATTTAGTGTTTTCTTCTGTGTAAGATATGGTATTTCATGAGTTAGATCACATCACGTTCTTGTTACACATTTTCTACCCTGTCTCCATTCAGGTTTTGTGCATGCCAGGGATTTATACAACTACTTGAATATATTAGAAATTATTAGGAAAGGAATGAAATGGAGAATTTTCTATTTTTTCCTCTCTAGCTGGTTCTTCCATTATGCTGCTGGTTTGCCATTTCTAATGCCTGACACTATCCTTACCTGTGAATTTTAATTCTTTCCATCTGAGCTTATTCTGGGTCCTGCTTTGATTGCAGCACAAAAACTTTAGATCAGTTGAACTGTTCAGTAATTTATTTCACATCAAAAGTTGTCCCTACGTTTTTTTTCTATATTCCAAATTTGAAAACAGAATGGTAATTGATTGTGTTCAGCCTTCTACATGAAAGAGTGAATTGATGTTTTCTGTAGTAGCCCAAGATCAGAAAAACTGTTACAGCCATGTTGGGAAGATTTATTGTGAAATGAGTGCTGCAATGAACTAAGTCTGGTGTTACCTTCATTGTCAGAGCTTGAGAGGGAGGGTTGTCCATGTAACAAGACTTGTTTGGTGGTTTTTTTCCTTATCTGTACCAAGAGTGTTTAAGTTCAGTTGTAATAAAATTACTTTACAAATATATGTAACTTTTCTGTTCATCCTGTAATAAATGGAAATCCCAGAAATTTTAATTACATCTAATCTTCTAAATGAAATCTTCACTTCTGGGCATCAACAGTACATACAAACCTTTAAGCAGTTTTAACTACAGATGAAAGTGACTCTCTGGCTGCGTCCCACGATGGTCTTTTTGGAGCAAAGAGGCAGGGAAAGTGTTTTGCATGGGCTTTCAGTAAGGCCAAACCTTTCCTCTTATAACTTGTTCTGCAGATTAATGAGGCAAGGATTATCAAATGCTCAGTGAGGCTGCAAAATATAGTGTTACCAGTAACTCAGAGATGCAAGAATAGCAGTACAGGGGATCTAAATTTAGCAATTTCTCTGTTTCTCCTCATCTTTCTGACATCTGTTTGTAGCATTTATGGAGCTGTTTTGAGGAGATGGAGAAATGTTTGGATTCACTTTACTGGAGATTTTGCTGAGTCACTAACACTTTTAACCACTCAGAGTTGGGAGGGTGAAACATTGGTTGGTTGGTTGTTATGTAAAGCTTTGACTCCTGGTGCATTGGAGACACATCTTGAAGCAGCTGTGTTCTAAACATTCAGATTTTGAGAGGTGCTGTTCCTGTGGGTGTGCATAGGACAGCATTCCTGCTAACCCCTATCCTATTTATATTTTTTCCTTCCTTCAGTGTGTGTCTGTGTGTGTCTGGTTGTCAGTGCTGATGTCCCTGCCTCTGGAGCTGCCTCTTTGTCCCAGAGTGGGCTCTGCATGGGCTTTGGTGGCAACCACCTCTGTCTCTAGAACAGTCAGAGGAAGGTGCTGATGCCACATGCTCCCCATGGGTGACCCTGCAGTAGTCAGTGCACTCACATAGGGTTGGTGAGGTCTAAGTTTAGTTCCCTCTCTTGCCTCAGAGAGGTTCAAACCTGCATTTCCAAGGAGCAGCAGCCAGCAGATAAGTGACTATTCTGGGACTGGAGCAGTCTCTACGTCCTTGATTGAAACTGTTCTATGGTTTTCTCCAAACAAATAATGAAACTTTCCTTAACACCAGTCTCTCAAGAACCTCTGTGTCTCCAGTGGGAGCAGGGAAAGTCAGAGTGAGATGTGGGGGAATCAGAACAGGAATCGGGCGGTTTTGCCGTCACTCCATTGGGATGCTCTGAAGGCTCTGTGAGAGGGATAAGGGTTAAATCAGCCCCAAAGCTGGGAGATGGAAAAGCTGGAGCTGAGCTGCAGAGCTGGGGCCCAGGCAGGCGAAAGGTCAGGGCTGGCCTGTGTGGGCTGGGAGCTCCACACAGGGCCCGGGCAGCGTGGGGAGAGGTGGCAGTCTGTGGGGAGAGAAGGTGATCTGTTCACTTCTCACTGAGCAGAGACAAACCTGGCATTAAATACCTCGAAATAGCTGTGTCATATTGGTCTCGGTTGCCGCAACACTTTGGAAAATCTCCAAGTTCTGGGCATAGTGGGGAGCTGCCCCTGGCTTTCAGTTGCAGCCAGGATGGTGTTCTGTGAGGAAGGGATGGTTTGCAGAAGTGTCTAAAGCTGTGAGATGCCATGGGGGCATCTGCAGTTCAGAGACAGAGCCTTACAAGTGGGGGTTTCATGCTGATGTTTGTTAGTGCCGTTCAAATAACGATCCAAAGACTTGTGTTACTAAAGGGATAAACTCTGTAACTAGGAATGAGAGTTGGCTTTTGGTCGGTATGACAGAGTTACTAAATAGTTATGTCTGGAATTTAAAGCAGCAGTTTGTAAATACATTCAGTTTTAGTCTTTTCCTGGTATTGTGGAGATATATTCTCTACTTTATAAAAGAAAATAACAATCACTAGAGAAGCATAAATATTTACATTTTTGGGAAGCTGCACTTCAGGAACACTGTTGCATAGTGACAACTGTGACACTTTGCTTTGAGTTCCTATTCTGTGTCACCCCACTAAGTTGCTTCTCACTTCCCTCTCCAATCTTCGTTTCTATTGGAAAAGTTGTTTTTGTTGTTGTGGTGTGGTGCTGTTAAAGGACTAGAGAGCAGAAAGGTATGAGTGTTGAGAAAACATAGGTGCAGTCTTGATAGCTTAAAGTATGCAAAAAAAAATATCAGTGCAGTAATGTGGAGGTTCATGTGAATAGCTGTGGAAACAGAGCTTCAGTTTTGGAGGTTTTTTATTTTATTTATTTTCCTATCTATAAAACCAAAAGATCAGCACAATAAGAAAAGTAGTTCACTATAACCCACAGATCTTACCTGTGAGTTTGATGGCAGTTGAGATGCTAAACCACCATTTACAGATCTGTCCATTATTAAAATGGTGCTCACTATTGAGAAATCTGAAGCTTTTTAGTACAGGTGAAATCAGAGTCAAGACTGAAGTTTCAAATTTACTTAACCTTGTGTGTTTGGCTTGCTGCCATGAATATGAAATTAAGTTTCCATAAAAACTGCAAAATGTTAAAATGAGCAGCTCAGTAATCCTGACTTAAATATGAGAACAAGATCACTTTGCTTCCAGATTTCTTTTCCAGAATTAGAGTACCAGAGCCTACCTGTCACACATTGCTTAGCAGATGTATGACTGGTTCAAAAAGAAAGCTGATTCTGAGGAAAAACTGCACCTGCTTTTCTGAACTTAGGAGCTTGAAATCTATGCAGTGTCTTGAGTCCTCTAGTGCTCTTCTGATCTCCTGCTGTTTGAGAATGCCAGGATGTTCCTTTTGGTATCTAAAACCCAAATGCAAAGAAAAAAAAATAAAAGGTGGAAGAAGATGGTTTCAGGCATGATGTTACTTTAAAACTACACGTCAGTTCCCAGACACTTCTCTTGCTCATTTGATGTTTACTTTCATTATCTGTTGGCAGCATTGCTTGTTGCCAGTAGCTGTTGCTGCTAATACTTCTTCCACCTGGAGAAATATTTTGTGGCTAAGCTGCTTACAGAAGCAAGCTCTATCTTATTTCTGTTGGAGATGTTGCAATAAACAACATGATTCTCTGCTGAGTTCAGTCTCACCAGAACAGTGTCAAAAAAATAATCTTCTAGTACCTTCAAGTCCTTGTTCTTTTGCACTTTAATCTTTTTATCACTGACTTTCTTATCTGAATCATCCTTCAGGGCTGCAGGGTTCTGGTGGACGCACGGGACAAGCTGGGGATCCCTTGGCAGTACACGGAGAACGAGAAGCACGGAATGTTTTTGATGGCCTTTGAAAACAAAGCTGGAATGCCCATCGAGCCTGCCACCTTCCAGCTCTATGTACCTGCCCTGGGCGCGCTCTGGAGGGATTCGGGAATCAAGGAAGCCTTCAGCCGTCGGAGCGAGTACCAGCTGGTGAGTACACCCACCTTCCCGGGGGCAGGAAGAGTTCCCTGCTGGACAAATCTCTCCTCAGCTGGCAGGAGTGCTCACTACGTGCACCATTCAGCCACCCCCTGAGCTGTTTGCAGTAGTGCTGTAAATCTGAGCACTCCAGCAGCAGAAACAAGTGGTAATTGGAGCCAAACTCGAAAAACTGCATGGCAGTAAGAGGGAGTGGAGAAGTGCACACGACTGGATAAACTGGAAGAGCAGGAGGAACCAAAAAAGGCAGGAATTGGTCGAACTAAAAATATTTTAGCAGCTCAGTAGGTCTGTGCATAGTAGGTCACTGATGAAGGCACACTTAATTTGTAACTTCTCAGCCCTGCCAGCCTGCAGTGTATTGATACTGGCAAACTCCTCCTGCATGCAGCTCTTTTGAAGTGAATGCAGCACCCATCCCACTGCTGCTCTTTGGCTGTTTCTTTTCATCCTGACGTCTGCAAGGGAAACTTGGATAAGCAGCTGAAAGATGACAGTGAGTGTAAAAATGTGCTGTCTTCCCTGCTTTCTTGTGAGGTTTTCATGCCCCTGTGCCAAAATAGCTGCACTTCTGGTGTGGAATATGTTTCTGACAGCTGTTCATAATCCTCTCCTTTTTCTTCCCGTGTACAAGCTGGAGATGATTTTTTTTCTCTTTTTTTTCCTTGTTCAGTGAAACAAGCTACTAGTTACTGGTTACTAGTCCTTGGAAAATTATATAGGATTTTTTCCTAATTCTTCTAATAAATCTATTTTATTATTTTAGCATATTATTTAAGCTTCAGTCTGCACGTAGAATTCATTTTTTGGGGTGCTCTATCCCCAAGTTGTATTCACGTTTTCTTGGGAAAAAAAACCAAAAAACAAACAGTGCAAGGTGAAACTCTTCATGCCTGGATGTGTTATTAATGTTTCATTAGAGGAATTAAAGGATAGAAACATGGCTTTGCACAGTCTCCCTTAGATTCTTTTACAAATCTAGGTAAAGGAGAAGTAGAGAAACTCACTAGTGAAATTCTGATTGTCTCCTCGTGCTGCTTCTCTCTGTGGGTTCTCTGGTGTCTAACAGTGTAGTTAAACTCGTGCTGCAGCCCTGAGGTGCTCATCTGTCTCCACTAATAAGGTGCCTGTTTGAGTCTTGTTGCACATCTTTGAAATCTGTCTCTGAAGCGTCGTGCGACTGCCAAATGGCTCAAGAATAAATGAAATGCTGAGGTAAAGCTGTCACAGGATGATTGTATAAACCTCACTTCCTTAGGCTAAAAATGAAACAATTTCCATGTTACAGCACGGGGGGCGGGGGGAAGGATGTGCAGAGGGGGAGAGAGGATGGATTAATTGTTCCATTATTCCTTGCATCTGCAGACACAGACTTTGCTGTTCTAAGCACTGTTCAAATGTGGAGTAAAAAGATGGTTCGTGCCACAGGGAACTTGAAATTATCATGATACAACTGCCAAGGCAATCCAGTATAGTAAGCAATAGTTGCATCAGCAGCCTGTTAAGACTGTTGTTTGGTTTTTTTTCCTTTTCCTGGGAAATGCTATGATCAAGCATGGATTTTGTTTGTAGAGGGAGATTCAGATTGGGATCATGTGGGAGATTCATTCCCACAATAAAATGGCATCAAACTGGAAAAAAGAGCCCAGTTGGTGGATAAAGAGTGTTCCAAGAGTGGTAGGCCTCTACCTCTGCGTTCTTTGGCTTTGAGGGTTAAACAGGAAATGCCAAAAAATAAAAAAAAAAAACCAAAAATAAAGCAGACATGGAAGTGATCATTTAATGTTCTGTCGTCTTCAACATCGTGGTTTAGTTCTATGGTGCCTCTTTTTGGGTGGCATTCCCATAACCTGTGTGATGTTACTGGGGCAGCTGGAACTGCTGCAGGCACCAGCCCTGTTCCCTTGTGGGTAGTACAGAAACAGTGTGTAACTCAGTCCCAGTGTCAGCATCTGTGGCACTGACAACTTGAAAATCCTGGGTGCTGTTATTTTATTGTGCAGGCTGCAACACCAGGGGATTAGAAAGTAACTCAGCTGTAACTAAAAAAAAGCACTTGCCACATTAAAGTTTTTTAAATGGAGTAGATTGGTCTCAAGGATACAAATGCTGCTTCTGGATTGATCACTAAACAAATTAATCACTTGAACAAGTTTCCATGCCCTGCTGCTGGCTTCAGCAGGAGTCTGATTCCCTGAATACATGGGAATCAGCAACAGTCCAATTCCTTTAAAAAGAAAAAAAGTTTAAAGCTGCATAACTTTTTAAAGAAAGAGGTGGTTTAAGGAGATTCCTAATTTGTAATTGCATATGATATGTATAAACCCATACCTTCATTTAGTTTAAACCCTTGCTGGATATAGACTCGTGTAAATAAATAGAAGCCAGATATAGTGGACTCTGAAAAAATAAATCTTTTCTGAACTGATTTTAACCAAGGCTGAAGAAAACCTCTGCATCAGCACTCTCTTTCTTCTGTAGTATAAGTGAGGTATTAAATGGAATATGCTTGGTTTAAACTGAATTTATTATCTTTAAAATAGTTTTTAAATTATCACCAGAATTTTTAAGCTTTACATTACTGTGATCTTTCTGAATGTGTCTCGACACTGTTTGAAAAAACAACCTCACTCAGCACTTGCATTTCCTTCACCCTGGTCTTGCAGTCAACTGAACACCAGCTTTTTATTATTGTTATTTTTTTGGCTTCTAGGCTGTAAGGTTATTGGCCTGTTTTTGAATGCTCTTATTTCTCCAGGAAGTTGTGTGACTGTTAAAAATGAAAAGTAAAACATGTTGGTTGGTTAACTAGAGCTGAAAATCACAGTGTGCAGGTGCCTTCCTATGGTCTGTAATGCCAAGCTCAGTGACTGACTCAGCAGTAACAAACTTGTTGAAAGAAAATGGCTCTGACCATAACCCTGTGCAATCTAAAAGCTGCTTCTCTGGCACCACACAAACTGCCTCTGGGCATTTGAGTGTTTTCTGCTTCACACTCAGTGCCTAGAAGTGCTGGTTGTAAATCCCTGTCTGGGTCTTTGAGCGTTTCAGAAGCGAGTGGGTGGATTCTACAATAGCAGGCTGCTTTTTTCTTTTTTTTTTTTTTTTCTTTACAGCCTTTCTTAAAGCAGACTAACCAATTTCTCTTTCTTTTCACAAACATCAGCCTCTCCCTCTTCCCCTGCCCCAGCCAGTCCCCACCGACCCAAGTTCCTCTGTTCCTTGTACACAAGCCAAGTAGTTTGGAGACAAAAGCCTCATTGTATGTTTGGTTACATTGTCACGTCTCTGTCCTCATTTTTAACCACTAGAATAGGAATTCCTTTGTAATCAGGATGTGATTCTTCCCCCTTCTCCTTTCCCCTCATTATCCCACCCCATTTTCTGTCTGTATGGTGGAAAGGAACACACTGATCACGTGTCTCCAAACGTCCCGTAACGTTTGTTCTTTGCCTGTGGTAGTTTGGGCAACTGGCTGTAAATCCTCCATTGCCACCAGAGGGAGACAAATCCCACTTGGAATGGTTTCTGGAGAAAGGGCCTTGGGATTTCCAGTAGGATTTAGCTGGAAGGTGGAAGTATCTTCAGTTTGAGCCCAGTAACAAGTATTTAGGAGCTCAGTTGCAATCTTTTTTCACCCATAAATGACGTTTCTGTTTAAGTCACAAACCATGGACACTGAGGCCAAGGTAGGAATTGCTTTGGTCAGGTGGTTTCTCTTTTGTTGGGTGTTTTGGTTTTTTTGGGTCTTTTTCATCCTCCCCGGTCTTTAGTGGGAGAATGTGAGATTCATTCACTTCAGCTTTAATGTGTTCAGAACAAAAAATCTGAAGCAAGGTTAGATACTTTTTTGACTTCTTGCAGCTTGGCATGCTTGATGTCATTGTGGGTAAAGATGGGACAAACAGGGCTTGGCATGCAAAAAAAGGGTATTTTTGTCACAGTAAGAACAGATGTATTTTGTGTGCTGGCTCTGCTGGAGAGCTTAAGCTGATGATGAGCAGATCTGCAAAGGCCATCAACTGGCTTCAGCAATTCTTAAAGAAAAATTGACATTCCTAGTATTCAGAATATGTTTGTGATCCATCACCAGAATATCAATTGATATTTAATGGTTGCTATTGATGTATTATTATTACTGATGTTCACTGAATTGTTGAAAGAATTTCTGGTGTTTTAATAGCTCCTCTTTTTTAAATAATAAATGTCAGCGTTAATGGGTAGTCGTGGTTCCTGAGAGGGAAGTAAGAGTCTTGCAAATATAGACAAAAACTTACTACTGTGTCCATACCTATTTTTAGATCTGTGCACAGGGAATTGTATGGAACATTTCCATTAATACTTCAAATACTAAGAGCCTCTGAAGCTGTGGATGTGGGAAGACTGGAAAATGTTTTAAAGACCCTTTTTTTTCCTATCGATTCACCATTCTCTGGGTGTTTTGAGCTGGGGGGAAGTTGGAGGGTGTTTGTAATAGGACATGGGTCACTCCCCTATAAATTACTATGGGGTTTATTTTTTTTGTTTAAGCAGACACTTGAACTAAATGGAAGTGGTTAAATTGTGCCTGCCAGAACAGACAGTGTGCTGGAAATGCTGCACAGGGAACAGCCTGGGGTTAGTAGAGCTTTTTGCTGCCTTCTCCCTATACAAGGAGCTGATGGCTTCAAAACCTCACAGGCAGCCAACTGTGTGTTTTGGGCAGCGTGGAGGTGAGGCACTAGTCTTTTGCACTAATTCTTGATTCAGAGTGGACAAACTGTGGCTGAAATATCTTTGTTTTGGTGTGGAAGTGCTGGGTACAGCAGTGATGTGATCAGGAGCTGGGCTGTACAGCAGCTGCTGAGGCTCGAGGAGGTTTTGTGGCAGCATTAGGCTACCTCTAGAAGCCAAGTGAATTGAGAGGTGGGGCAGCAGAAGTAGGTGACTTTTGAAGTGGCATGTTCAAAGAAATCTCCAGGATTGGGCTGCGTTTTGTCAGAATTACTCAG